TCCAAAAACGTGTTTCAAAGCAAGAGTGAGTGTGAGACTATCTGCAAGGATCCACTAAGTGTCATTGATATTAGTCAAGACACATTATAAATTGTTCATGTTGCTTCAATACAAATATTTATTTTAGCAAAAACTTAATAGTATTTTATTTTTACTATTCTTCAGATAAAGTGTGTTTTGGTTTTATTCAAAATAAATATGATAACCTGTGAGAAAGGCTTATTTTTTAATGTGGTTCATTTCCAAGGTCAAATAATAGAAAAAATATTGATACACAAAGGAAGGTCTTGGCGCGGGAAACACGTGAAAAATCAAAGCCTAACACTGATTAAAAGTTATGAGAAAAGTTTGAGAACAAAAAGGTAACTAGCTAATAAGACTACATGTAACAGACTGACGAAGGGACAAACCAAACACAATATCAAAAATAATCTATCATACATGAAATATAAAATCGTTATTTTATTTTTTTGGTGTGTACCCGTTATTTTCAATATTAAATTTTAACTATTTTTTGAGTAAATTGAAACCAAAAATGACCTATAATATAAAAGGACAACGACTTGATTATCAAGTATGAAAATTTAATTCATTTATTTTATTACAAGTCTAATTTAATAAAATGTCCATTTGATTCTATCTTTTTAAAGATGCTAAAAATGTAAACAAACTGTCCATTGACAAAATATCTGTTTTGTTTCTTGCATGTAGAAAACTTTTCCATTCATGCTTCAGTTTCTTTTTAAAGTTTCTCGATTTCTTAAACTTTTTTAAAATTTTTTTTCTTATTAAACATTCATTGTTTTGAGAGAAAAAAAAATAATTTATTTTCAAAATATGTCATTTTTAATGACTTTTGCAGACAAATTCTATATTGTACAAGTACACGTGCCGGTCAAAATTCACAGAGATTAAATGAAAAATAATTTATGTGTTTTTCAATAACCTGAATAAAGATTCCTTCTTTCTAGGATAGATTTTTTTTTCACGTATAAAAATTGCAAAAGGTACCTCTAAAATGTTTTATTCTTAAAACGTATGCAACAACTTTGCAATTAATATACTATAAACTAAAAATAAAAAAAGGTGGGGGAAAAAGAGATTTCATGCTGTGTAAAGGAGAATATTTTTCCTAGGAAGAAGAAATTTTTATTTTAGAAAGGATAAAGAAATTTATTCCTTGGAAGCCGAGGTACTTTAAATACGGCTTTGAAGAAGTAATTTTCATACGGGGAAGGAGAAAAAAATATACTGGGAAAGAAGTATTGGAAACAAAAGAATGAACAACAACAGTTCTCCCTGGCAAACTTACTCTAATAGCTTTTGTCAATAAGAATATACCAGAAAAAACTAATAAAGTTACAATGTTACAAACCTACATTTCTTTGCCATGAAGAAAAGGATACATTTTTCATGATTTTTTTCAATTCTTTGTTAAGCATAACAGTATATTTTTTCTGCATTATAATAAATGTTTTTTTTTATAGACAAAGAAGATATTTCAATGAAAGTGGGAGGGAAACAAAACGTGTGTATTTGAAATATTTATTTTTCTCTTCAAGTTTTTGTTGAATCAACTTTTACAAATACCTATAACGATTACGCTAAATTTTTACTCGCCTTATGTCTTTGGCTAGCAGTGCCCAGACCCTTAATTTATCATTTAATGACTCAGACAGATTCGCCGCTAAAAATAGACACAATGTTTGTGTAAGCTGCATATTGATTTTTTTTTAAATACCCATGTGTTTATTGTACACCTCAGGGATGGGAATCCCCCATTCTTACATTATTGCAGTACATGGTTGTGTGCTGGATTTTAAATTCAATGAAACTGTATTTCACTTCCTTATTCCCTAATGATTGATATTACCATGGACACCATTGTTGTTTGTGTATTCATTCCAAAAGCATAAACCGCTGTTACAATCATCGATTCTTCGTGGCATAAATTGAACGTCCTTGATTCACAACTTGGTTTTAAATGCCTCGGCTTGAAACCCTATATATTTATAGTTATCCAGTCCGCGCACGTCCGATACGTTCGATATGAGTGTTGTTTATTTATATCCGATACACATGGAATCTGATCCTGGGGAATAAAAACAGGAAGAATAGACTCCTATTTATCTACGATGTGAGGAATAAAACAAAATGAAGGTGAGTTAGGACTTCTTTTGTACAACCTCTGATCCTGATTGCATTTCTTTTGTTTTTCTCTGTCTCTATCTACTTCCTGGTAAACATAGTGGTATGTATTTTTCCATGTGTTTGTATGTCTACATACTTACAGGTTATGCCTGTGAAATGCAAAATAATGTGTGTATGTTTGTTTATTCATATATATCTTAAATTCAAAAATTTAAAATTTAAAAATATTATTTACATCGTTTCAACAAATAAATGTAATTCAAACAAAGGTGTAAAATTATCAGACATAGAAATGGATCATTTTACATGTACAACTAAGAAAATGCCAAATTGCCTTTTCCAATACAAAAATAATTAAAAAAAAAAATTGTATGCAAAGTCTTTCGTCCAACAATAGCAGGTAGTTTATTTTTCACTGAATTGTAAGTCTGCACTTAAATAGTGACAATGTTTTGTGTTTTTGTTCCGAAAGAAATTACATAATGCAAAAAACAAAGTTTTGTATGACCAACATTGAATGGATCAATGTTTCAGGTGTTGGGTTTTTCCTGCATAGATTTGACGGTTTAATTTGCCTTTTGAATTGAAGCCACTGTTTTTTAAAGTACAATCAATATGATGCAAACGTTATGCATTGCTGGCAAATATTCAATTATTGGTTTATGTCCTTACATAAATTTCGATCATTGAATTTTGAAGGTAAAATCATTGAATGTTGATTTATTTTGTTTCCTTACTATTTTAATTATCATAAGTTGTTTATTGATTCATTTTTACCTCTTTCATTTTTAAATATTAATTGAAACCTGATACATTTGTAATTATATCTTATTTTGTATCATTTTGCAGCAGATGAAGTTTTCCATCCTGTCAATATTTTCCGTCTTCATTTTAAATTCAGAGATTAATGTAGGTATGTATATTTAAATTCCTTTTTTTTTTCAGAAAAAATACTCTATAAATTGATTGACTCTTTTACCTTGAATTTCTTAAAGTCATTAACTTAATTAGATTTTAATTTATTCATGGAGAAAGCAATTGTTTTTGGAAATAACACAGCAAAATGGAGATGACAAAATGGTCCAATACACACTAGTTTCATAATTCCTAGATCTCTGTCATTATCTTTTTGTCTATGTTTTAGTTCAGACTTATCAAACAAAATTATTTTTATTGATAGAATCAACCTATTACTGCGGTGGTGTGACTGGTAAGTTTGTAATTGTATTCTTTTTTTCTATATAATTACCGGAGTGTCTTATCTGAATACAATTTTACAGGAAATTTGACATGCTGAAATAAAAAAAACCCCATTAATACTGAAGAATAATGAATAACTCAAATGCCTTGTCAATATTTTTTGTCCTTTACAGATCCTTGTACGGCAGCCGGTGAGCTTTTTGAGCCGTATGCACGAACCCGTAACTGCCCTTATGACGGGACAAAACCCCATGTCCCATGTGATCGATACAAGACCCCTGGATGGTACAGGTCAGACGAACCTATACTAGATGAATGTCCCGCCCTCGGCAGCTGTGGGACTGTTTATCCTGTCTGGTTTAATGGTACATTATCATTTTTAATTTCCGATTTTTTTTTTATTAAATTCAAATCAGATCTTTCAATTTTGTAGCTGTCTTGAGACAGTTTCTTTTCGTGTAATATAAATTTGGCTTAACTAATCCCAGAGTCAATAGAGTTGTAAACTAAAAATCGAAATATCCATTTGTCACAGATACATGTGATAAATTTAGGTTACATTCAATTAACAACTACATATCAAGACGACGACTTTTCATTTCAGGAACCTTACCAGAAGTAGCGGATGGGGTGGTTTCCAGGAAACTCTGTAAGACCGGATTCTCTAGTTGCTGTGTTAAAGAGTACAACGTTCAGATAAAGAACTGCACCACCCACCACGTGTACTGTTTGCCTGCACTGGACGCCTGCCCTGAAAGATTCTGTTTCGGTACAGCAGGATTAAATTCTCATCAAATCAAAATGTAAATTTCTTTTAAAGATACCCATAGAGCGAGGCAATAACTCATACTTTTGTTAACGAATTTCACCACCCTATGAATAAAGTTGTTCCCTATGTACTGTTACATATAAAGTTTTAATTTAATTATACAGGAAAACATGGACCATGTGAATATCCTACAACGACAGCGGTCCAGACAACACAGACAACAACAGAACAGGGCAAAAGATATAAGGGTTTGTTTGTTTGTGTGTTTGTTTATAGTCATGTTGTTTTAAGCCCTTCTCGAGAAATTTTCACTCATATGGATAAGCCACGACTAGGCTGTGGAGAGCTACATTTTCTCGGCACTTAGAGCTATTGAGCAGCGAATGATCTGTTTTGTACAAACACCTACTGCGACTCAGTTTAAACGGTCTCATGAGAAGGACTGGTCTCCACATCCAACAATGGTATTCGAACCCGATAAAAATATTAGGGTTAATACAAGGCAAGTACAGTGAAATCTGTCTAATCCGACTTGCACTGGGAGACGAAATTTGTGTCGGAATACACAAGGTGTCGGATTGCACAGTGTTAAAATTTGTGTCGGAATTCACAGTGTGTCGGATTATTCAGGTGTCGGATTAGACAGTTTTCACTGTATAACTAGTAATAAGGTTCTCGTGGTATTGGAAAAAAAATCTTTTTTTTTCTTTTACAAGGTAACTTGGCATTGAATTAATGCATAAAGAGATTAAGAATTATTTTCTGTCTTTTGTTATTGGAATTAAAAAAAAACCATCACATGCATACAGAGTGTATACATCTCAGTTGATTCGATACGCAAGGGCATGTACTAATTATAAGTGTGAACAATTTCTAAAACAAGGTATATTATTTACAAACAAGTTGATGAAAAAAGATTATCAGCAGTCTCTTTTACAGTCATCATTTCGTAAGTTCTATGGACGATACAATGACCTTGTCAGCAAATACAACTTATCATTGAGTCAAATGCTGACAGGCGGTACGCTCTTCATACTAATTGTTTGTCCATTATTTATACACTGAATTGACGACGGATGCTTCCGTTTTTTCCCGACATGACAATAACTTCATGGCGGGTGTTACCGGTCATCAGAGGATGCTCACTCCTCCATGGCACCTGATATAACCTCTGATGTTTTTGGGATCAATGTTTGCTCTGCACCTATTTTGTATTGTTTTATGACATCGGTATTGAATACTGTTGATTATCTCCATAAATTTCATGGGGATTATTGCAGATAGTAACAGATATCGTTCTATAGAAAATTATTATCAAATTATAACGTAAATACAGTAATATAATTAAAATTGAAAATTTTACCCCTGTAATGACAAAGGTTTACATTTAATGTTTAACATGATTACAGTTTCTTCTTTTTAACTTTTTTTTTCTTGACTTCTAAGATTTAAGCGTATTTTTTATAGAGGTATTAGGATCAAATTGATTTTTATTCTCATTCTGAGCTACTGGAAGTTAAAAAAAAATACTACAATGATTATTGCATAATGGTATGCTTTATCTGTATCAGGATAAATCAATTCACATAAATATGTTTCTTGAAGATTTGGAGAGAAGATACACGATGGTAATAGTTATAGTGGTTATTCTCGTCTGTTGTCTTATCGGACTCGGCAGCACCATCACATTTATATTCGTTCGGTAAGTGCATGTAAGAGAGACGAACACACATTTTCTTCTTAATTATTTTGTGTCAAATACCTGAATAAGAAAAGTATTTTTTGATAATTAGAAGATTTTTTCACATATTTTTATACATGGATGCAATTTTTTTTTTACATTTTGTTATAGGGTTCGCTATGACTGAGAGAAAAAGCGTATTTTGTGCTCTGAATTTATATTTCTGTGAAAATTTTAATCCAGTTCCAATTTGGGGGGTTAACTGTTTTACTCTTGTGTGTCTGTGTTTGTATTTGTATGCCCGTAATAAATTGTCGTCATGGTCAACCCCCCATCGCAGATGCTTGAAATTTAGCACAGTTTAGCAGGCATGACATATGATAGGATTCATTTTTGTACGAATTTGATGTCAATTTCCTTTTCATTTGTCTGTCCGTAGCTTAGAGTCTTTTGTTTATTTCAATATTGACAAACCTTATCATCAAGAACAATGACCTCAACAAAGTTGATATAATATACAGGCGATTCTCAAGGGCTCGAATTCCGATCAAAGTGACTCTTGTAGTTGTAAAGTAACTATCTTAACTTGTTTTCTTAGTTTATATTCAAGGTCGTTAAGAGAATATGAAAGAAAATAACCTTTTTAAAATGTTGAAAAGATTTTATTATTCTAGACCATATTTCCAGGGAAAAAAATAAATAGAATATTTCAAAGGCGATATTTTAATTTTCTAAAGTCTAACAGTTTTGGAGAAAGAACGTTATATGGTATATCAAGTGTTTTATTCTTTACTTTGACCTTACTTGGCGGGTTCGATTCCCACTGTGGGACATCGAGACCGCATCTTCAGGTGAGACCAAAAAAACGAAGTCCCGTGTCAAAGAAGATGCTGGCACGAAAAAGATCTCTCCCTGCTCAATGGCCCTGAGTGTCGTGTATAAGACAAAATTTGTAATTTTCCACCTGTAAGTATTGACGTTTCCATATAAATGAAAAATTCTCAAGATGAGCGTTTAACAATAAACAAACAATCAATCAATCTTACTGTGTTTAAAGATTCATTATAGAGCTTTTTCCTCTCAAATTTGACATGCCCTTGATGAATATTGGATCATTCGTGGCCTTACTTCATTATAGCTACATGAATAGTGATCCATAAGTATATATTGAAAGGTTGTCTCATTTTGGGTTGATTGCTCTTTATTAGTTATTATTTTTTGAGTTACCAATGGGCACTTTTATTGTCCTTTATTATTGTTCTTTAGGCTGAAAAACGAATAGAGGACAGAACTTTTTTACGAGAGAAAATAAATATGAATAGAAAAAAAGATATAATATACCATAGTGATACCATATTAGATGAATTGAAGTAAGCTTAATCTTTAACTAAATAGAAATAAGTAATTATTGATGCTTTATTTCATCACAGGAAAAAAATGAGAGACAGGGAAATTAGTCAAAGCAGAGTGGAACTTGTGCCGGAGGAGTATAGACACGATACAGTGCAGGGTGTAACAGGGGAAAGCAATGGCGTGCCCCCTCATCTGCATTTCCAAGTTCGATAGAAATACCAAACAACTCATGATTTCCAATTTTGACATATTTTTCTTATCTAAGGAGATTGAAGAATCGCAGGGACCATGTTTTTGTATATATACTGAAATATTCATACATATGTTTTGTTATATGTACATTTATAAAAAAAAAATGAACTGTTGATTGATGCAATTTATAGTCAGCTGATTTTATTTACAGTATTAGAAGGAAACATTTTCACGTTTTGTAGACATATCTTTATTTAATTTTATAATAATGTATGGTACATAACAAATGATGCAGATTCACCATTTTTATCATTTAGTTCATAAAATATGACCATTTTGATCATAAAATTATATTTATCGTTTTCATAGCAAGATTGATCATTATCTTTTTCTGCACCTTGTTATAACATCGACTTTTTCATTAAGATGTACTCATATTAGGACGAAAAAACATACATTTTACATCCAGTGCTGATATACTTGTAGAAAGACGTCGCAAAGCCGTTACATTTCCGAAACTTATTGATTCAAAAAGTAGTACATGTTTTTGTAAATATCAGTTTGTGGGAAGATTTAGAAAACATAAAAATAAATCTATTATAAGCAACATTATGACTAACTTAAGTTTCTGTGCAGTTTGCAATTTACTAGTAGTAGGAGATGATGTGTTACTTAAAAAATGAGGTTGGCCTATTTTGTTCTAAGAAAAAGCTGTAAAAACTTAATAAAATAGTGACTCTTTTTTTGTTGTAGGGTATATTTAGTGCGTTAATAATCCGGTACAATATAGCATGTTCTCAGATTCTCTGGTAATCTTACAAGATAATTCAAACGACTTACTGCAAACACAGTAGCCTATACATTCGCTCTCTTTTGCTCTCTCTCTCTCTCTCTCTCTCTCTCTCTCTCTCTCTCTCTCTAGCACATATAAGTATACAGGCCTCTTGATCTACAAATATGATATATGATGTTGATAAGTATATTCATCCGTTGTTTTTATTATCAAATATATCTATTGAAATAAAATGTTATGATTATCGTTAATGTTATAAACTTTTTTTAAATAATTTATTTCTGTGCAAAAAAGAATATTCTTTCTGGAATCTACCCCGGTATTCGGTATATATGGTTAATAGCCCACCCATTCTTAATTGTGATGTTTCTTTTTAGTAGTTTTCTAATTTCTGACAAATCTAATTATGGTTATGACTATTATCTGTTTATATGAGGATGTTATTTAGATTATTAATAAGTCTCGTCACGTGATATGACAGTCAAGTAATTTAAGCAGTTATTCCTGCACTATTGAGGTCAGTAGTAAAAGGGCATAACCAATTTATAATTCAGAGTTAAATTGAAGTTTTTAAATGAAAATAAAAAAAACTTTTTAAAGTTTGTGAAAAATGCTGCGATCTTATAAAATCTTAATATTATCCTTTTAGTGCAAGCCTTTGCAGCAGATTAATTTATCGACACACTTAACACCCATTCTCAATATAAGGGCACAAATGCCTCTCTGATTTTTTAAAAAATGAAGTTCAAGATAACATTTTTTCTATCAATTACCTTTGAAAGAAAGTATGTGAAGATTTTATTTCCAGATTTTTTTCATCAAATTTTAATAAATGGAATAATGACAAGACGGTAAAGTAGAGGGTGATTTTATTCAGAAATGTAGCTTGAAATGTACGTTACTCTTTCTTCAATGTCCAAAAAGATATGTAAAAAAAATATAGTCATTAAAATCACAATTGGAATATCTCATCTTAACACATGCACATCCTACCAACTCTGTCAGGAACATATTATCACGGCTTATGAACGTGCGTTTGATTTTTCCTTTCAAAAAACAAAGGTTACTTTTTGATCCAGATGTTTAAAAACATTTTTTTTTAAACATATGCTTTAAATTCTTCTCTCTGTTTTGTTTAGAGCGATCAGTTTGGAATCTTGTCATTTTCTATAGATACTGGAACTTAACATGTACATGTAGTAAAATTCTATTTTGTAGTTACTGTCTTTTTTAACATATATCCATGCCGATTTAGAAAACCACGTAAATGTAACGTACATTTCAAGATATATTTCTGTTTAATAAAAAGCTTAAAATTCATCTAAAAATTCATCGTTTTGTTTCAGTTTATTCCCAAAAAGATTCTCTGTGTAATCACATTGTGTTATATGTCACAATCCCCACTATAAAGGCACGATTGCCTCAGAATATGAGTAGGTAACGTACATTTCAAGCTTGTAATAATATGTAAATTAGTAATAAGAAAATTTTGAAAAAGCAATTATTGACATAAAAATCATTTCAATGAAGCGTTTTAACGCAGTAATATAAAAAATCATAATGTAACAAACGAGGTTATTGTCATCAACTACATGAATGTCACGTCACTTCGGTAACGTTCATTTCACATATTACTGGGGAGTCCCCTCCACCTCAGTTCATTACCATTCTTTTGTACTGTTTCGCTGAAATTGACACCGGTCGTAGCCTAGTTACTTCTAGCTGCAGATCTGTAGCGTTATGGTTTTATATATTTTTCTTTGACCATAACGCTACAGATCCCGTAATGCAAAAAAAGGTGCAATTTACGGCGCAATATTTTTTGCGCTCTTTTGAGGAGAATTTCTCCACTGTTTAACATTGGTCAAATAACCACCTTTCACTCCCTAAGCCTAGAGACACTCTGTAGCCAATAAGTATATATTATCCACCTCCCAGCCATTTATAGTCGTCTCTACAGGCAATAAACTCGTTTGAAGTGAATTCTCAGCAATCTAACAAATAATTTTAATCCAGCGAGTTTATCACTTGTAGAGACGGCTATAAAGGTTTGGGAGATGGATAAAATATACAGATTAGTTTAATAATGCGCCTAGAGATAGGAAGTGAAAGGTAGTTAATTGACCGATGCTGGAAAGTGGAGAAATTCTCCTCAAAAGAGCGCAAAAAATATTGCGCCGTAAATTGCACCTTTCTTGCATTACGGGATCTGTAGCGTTATGGTCAAAGACAAAATATATAAAACCATAACGCTACAGATCTGCAGCTAAGTTACTTCTACCTGTGTGCAAGGGTACAGACAAAAAAATAGAGTCAGACGTATTTTGCTATGATCTAACAAATGCTCGTGTTTGGCCATTGAAACTTAACATAAATCTATTCCGAATATATCCATCGACAGTTTTGTTAACAATTTCATTTAGTATGTTGCAACATCGTTTGTCAAAACACAAACATACGTGCTTTTCAGTAGATCTGGAAAAATATAACCCAAAATGCAATGATTCAAACAAAACTGAGTATTATTTGCCTTTCAGTATTTGAAATGTACGTGACCGTCTCACTACTAAGTCAGAAACGTACTGACATTCCCATTTTTTACTGACAAACTTAGAAAATTACTGACAATGTGCTGTCTTTACTGAAAAACTTAGACAACTAGTGCTAATTGTAACGGGGACCGTTACAGATGTTCCCCAAACGCTCTCCAACTCCCTTTTGGTGCCATATTCCCTGGAATCTCTATCAAATAAGAAATACTTAATGGAATTTAGACTTAATCAAGGTCTTCATAGAAAAATACAAAATATATTTAAAAATAGGCATTGCACGCGTGTTCATGTGCGTAACGACCATATTATCTTGTCTACACTATCTAAACTTTTAATATACTTAAGATAAATGCATTTAATCCAAAAGTAAAAAAAAAATACGATCATTCGAGTGTATTTTTAATTTTACTTTATGCACGTGCACGCACGTACAAAATGACTACACCTTCTTGTAGGA